AGCTACACACTAGCCCAGGCTTGAGCACTTTTATCCATTCAGCCCATTTCTTTGATGAGTAAAGTAAGGCTCAAAATTTGTGGCCTAAGGTCACATAGCAAGAAAGCAAGATGAGGGGGACCAGACAGAAACCCAGCCCCTCATACCTGACCTGCAACTGTGGGTCAGGTACCTTCTAGGAGGTATAAATGGCTGAGAACCCCAGAGGGGAGCACCTCCGCTCCATCCCTGCCTTTACTGCGCTGTTGCGCCCCTCAAAGCCCTCTCCCTGCCGATGGGAGGCTGTGGGAATTGAGGACCCAAGTGGAGAATTCAGCCTGGGAACAGGACTTTGAGCTGGGATGGGCTTTCCTTTGTCTGAGAGCCAGCAGGCCTGCTTGGCAGGGGTTTCTCAGGAACATGATTGGTATCAGCGTGCTAAGGGGTGGCTGGGAGAAATCGATTGATGTTAAGTAATGCCATTAGTGGGGCTGGAAGGGGAGGGGTGGAATTGCCCCAGGTGGGTGTCATTTCTGAGTGCTTTCTGAGTGTCAGCTGCCCAGAGTCTGAGCCACACAGCTGTTCCCAGAACTCTGGATCCCCCTCTGAAGCACACCCAACAGCCTCCCAGTACTACTCTTGCTGTCCAGTGCTGGCCCCTGCAGATATGGTAATGAGCAGGCTGTCCCATGAGGGAGCCAAGGATGACCTCTTGGACACACACAATGCTCCTGTGTAAGGCTGGGCACATGCCGGGCTATGGGAGGGCTGTACCACCCTGGGACACAGGGATGTCTGTGGGCGTGGAGGACTTAACCAGATAAAGGATAGGAGTTCTGAAAAGGCCAGATGGGAGCTGTGGTGGGGGCCATCCTGGTCATGTGGCTGGTAAAAAATTTACTCCAAGCCAGGCATGGTAGCACATGCCTATAATCCTAGCACTCTGGGAGGGTCAGACAGGAAGATCACAAGCTCAAGCCCAGCTTGCCAGCTTGATAAATTTAGCAACTTAGTGTGACCCTGTGTCAAGATAAAAAAGGGGGGCTGGTCATACATCTCAGTAGAAAGGCCCTCAGTAGAGAGATTCTCACTCTGGGGAGTGGGAGGGGGGCACAAAATGAGGGAAAAAAGGAGGGGCAAGGAGGGAAAAGACATTCACTTCAGCAGCAGGGAAGAGTGTGTGGTAGAGTTGGCTGGAGGAGGGCAAAGCCCTAAGAAGGCTGGAGGAAGAGTAGAAGCAGGCTAGGCTGGTGAGGAGGGCTGACACTCCCTGGAGACAGCGGGCCACTGGCTGTCTCCAGTAGACTGGCCTTGGCAGCCCCTGGTAACTGAAGCCATGGGAGTGGGTAAAGGGCTCCCCTGGGAGAACACAGAAAGAGGTCTGCCTCCTGGGGAACCCCAACAGTTAGAGCAAGGATGAGCATTCACCTGGCAGAAGGAGGGTTCAGAGCCAGAGTCTGCAGGTCCTGGCTGAGGGGTGACCCCACAGTTCCCCTTCCCTCTTTCTGGACTGAAGTAGAATTTCCATTCCCAGTGGGCGTGATGAACTGACTGAGGAGGGTGGCAGAGGACACATGGGGATCAGTGCCAGGCCCCGGGAGACCTGGGAGAAGAAGTGGAGGTCAGGTAGCCTGGCTGGGGCTCCCGGAACTACACCTGCGGAGCCTGGTCCTTGTGGTGATGTGTTGTGTGTCCTTCAGTACATGCCACTGTGGCAACATTGTTACTTCCTTTGAAAGATAGACTGAGGCCTACAGAAGAGCCCAGAGTGGACCCTGCTACCCTGCCAATCAGTGCCCAGGGCAGGATGACTCCAGGTTCCTCCTTTCTGCCTGGGGATGGCAGTGGGCAGATGCGGTGGTTTGGAGGTGCAGAGTGAGAACTGGGGGCTTGGCTACAGCTCTGGCCTTCTACCTGCTCCTGAAGGCTGAGAACCTAGGAATACACACACAGACACGCAAAGCTCCCTGAGTTTTGTGGAGTTTGGAAAGCTCAGTGCTTTCCAAACTCAGCCCCCTTGCCCATGCCACGCTTCCCCTATAGGAGCTGAGTGCAGCAGCATCCCCACTCCACACGGTCCTGGGCCCTGCCTGGCCTTGGTCTGGCTCAGCCCCCCACCCAACTGTACTGCACATGTCTCTTGGGGAGCCACTGGAGCAGACAGCCCTAGACAGTTGCCAGCAATTACTAGGCTCCTGGTCACTCTGTATTCCCTGCAAGCCCCTGATGTACCCTTCCCTGGCCCTGGAGGCTATAATCTGTGGCTGGTTGGCATTTGGTGGGGTTATGGAGGGAGGGAGTGGGGGATAGGCAGATGCCCTGGGTGAGTCCCAGAGATGGGAGTCATGAGCAGGCCTAGAGCCCAGCAGGCCCATGTGGAGTGTGTGGCATCTCAAGAACTCAGCTCCCAGGCCTCAGCTTGACACTGCCTTCAGGAAGCAGGCCCTCCCCTTCCTGATACCACAGAGGTGTCCTTGGGCTCCGTTTCCTGTGGCCATTGCCACCCAGCTCAGGGGCCTTGAAGCCTGCTGGCTGCAGTAGCTGGCTGGCATCTCCTCCACAGGGCCAGACAGCAAGTATTTGGAGCTTTGTGTGCCATATGGTCTCTGTGGCAGCTACTCAACTCCACAGTTCTAGTTAAAGCAAATAAGACAGAAATGACTGACTGTGGTTGTGTCCAATAAAGCGTTATTTAATCGACTTTCATATAATTTCCCTGTGTCACAGATATTCTTGTTTTGATTTTGTCTCTCAGCTATTTAAAAATGTAAAAACCATCTTTAACTTTCAAGCTGTACAAAAATACAGGCTGTAGGTTGGATTTGGCAAACCTATGGGTTATAGTTCCCCAGCCCCTGCGTAAAGCAAGGCCTCAGAGTGTGAATTCTGGGTCTGCTGTGTTGTAACCTTTTAAGTGGCTACATCTTTCTGTGGTTCAGCTTCTGTGTGTGTGCGCGTTACTAAGGATCAAACCCACAAGCACTCTACCACTGAGCTACAACTGTAGTCTTTTAATTTTTACTTGGAGACAGGGTCACTAAGTTGCCCATGTAGGACTCGAACTTTATCCTTTCCTGCCTCAGCATCCCTCAGTGCTGCGATTGCATTTTTGTTCTGCTTTGCCCAACATGAGCTTCAGATTTTTCATCTGGAAAATGAAGAGGATAAAGAAAATACTTTGGGAACAGAAAATGATATTGCCATTTTGGAAAATAGTTTGGCACTTCCTCAAAATGTCAAGTTATAAGAGTTACCATATGACCCAACAGATCCACCACAAAGAGTGTACTCAGGAAAAATGAAAAGATATATCTACACAAAACCGCATTTGGAGCAGTGTTATTCATAACAGCGAAAAAGTACACAGCCCAGAATGTCCTCAGCTGATGAATGGATAAACGAAATGTGGGATGTACTTACAATTGAATTACTATTTGGTCATCAAAGGAATGAAGTGTGGCACCTGCCACAGTCTGGATTATCTTTGCAAACAGATTGCTAAGTGAAAGAAGCAGTACACAGAAGGCCACGTACCCCATGATTCCAGTATATGACATTGCTAGACTAGGCCCATCTGCAGAGACACAAAGTGGCCTTGTGGCTGCCGGAGCCTGAAGGGTGGCCTGGGCAGGGTATGGGGTTTTTGTTGGGCTGATGGAGATATTTTGGAATTAAGCAGTGATAATGGTATATGATTGTGAATGTACTAAAAATTGAATATATTAAAAACTGTAAAAAGAAAACTGTAGCTTCTAAAAGGGTGAGCTTTATGGCGTATGAGTTATTTCTCAAAAATAATATTAATGTTTCCTTCCTAAGGTTGTGTTTCGGTATATGTGCTGCCGAAGCGAGCACTAAGGCTGTGTTTTGGTAACGTTAATGCTGGGAAATCACCTGGAATGGTCCTTGCCACCCCCTTACTAGCCTGGGAAGCCATGAGATCTGTCCTCTTTCCATTGTCTCCGGGACCCAGGACAGGACCAGGGCTTGAGCGCTTCTACAACACGAAATCTTCTTCACAATAACTACCTCACAGGTGTGAGTCCCCTAGGCTGATCCCACCCAGCCATGGGAGCCAGTCACCTGGCTGGTCTCCAGGGTACCCAGCAGGGCTGGGACAGCAGCAGTTCGCCCCTTAGACAATTCCCACTGCCCCCCATGGCCCCACTACGTGGGGCTACCAGGCCTGGAGACTGAACACCTCAGGCCTGGAGCAGATGTCCAATTCCACTGCCCATGGCTGTGCAACAGCAGCCCAGGACCCCCCTTTGTTCTCTGAGCTTCAGTTTGTTCAGCTGTCAGATGGGTTTGGGACATGACACCTGCCATGTCAGGTGGTTGAGACAATGAGGGAGGACAAAAAACCATAAAGCATTTGCCCAGTGCCTGCTGTGTTTTATATGCTCGGTGCACGTAGCTTTTATGATAATATGTCTTACAATATTTCTTTTGAAAGTCTACCATAGCTAGGCACTGCTCCGGTTACAGAGATACAGCAGAGAATCAGACAGAAATCTTTGCCTTCCTAAAACATGATGGGGTAGGCAGAGAAGAAACAAAAGAAAAATAAATTATGCTTAAAAACATGATTGAGAAAATAAAACACAATGTGGAAGGCAGCTTAGAGAATGTGGGAAGAGGTTCCAGTTTTATAGAAGTTATTGGAGAAAGAGTTCTTGAAAAAGGTCATTTAAGCAAAAACTTGGGGGAATGAGGGAGCCATGCAGGTTTTTTGGGGAAGAGCATCCAGACAGAGGAAGCAGCGCGGGCTAGGCAAGTGCAAGCGACAGGGAAGAGGCCAGGTCAACTGGAAGGAATGAGTAGGAGGACGTGGTCATGTGCAGAGGGCAGGGGCAGGCTTTGGGACCTGCAAGGGTGGCCCTGGTGCCACGCAAGACAGGATCTCTCCAGGGCTTTGAGGAGATGCTGACACACATGGACTTAGACTTCAGGGGCACGGGTAAGGCGGGGTCTCACTCCTTGCCCTTTCCCCGCCTTACACTTCTGTGCTTCCTCTGCAGGACCAGCTGGGGGCCTCCATGGGTGCTTGAGAGCCGGGCACCAGGGCTGCGGGACGAGCATGGTGAGACACCAGCCCCTGCAGTACTATGAGCCACAGCTGTGCCTCTCGTGCCTCACAGGCATCTACGGCTGCCGCTGGAAGCGCTACCAGCGCTCGCATGATGACACCACACCGGTGAGCTACCCAGGGATGGAGTCCGAGGGGCCCTGTGGGTGCCAGCAAACCCACAGGCCAGGGAGGTGGCCAGGAGCTGACTCCGCTGGGGGGCTCTGGATAGGCTGAGGGCCCTTCAGGGCTTCAGTCCCCGCCCCCCCCCCTTTTTTTTTGGCGGAACCGGGGATTGAACTTAGGCCCTTGTGTTTGCCAGGGAAGTGCCTATTCCACTGAGCCATCTCCCCAGCCTGTTTCCCCCTCTTCACAATGGGGCTGTGCTATTTCCTGAATGTGCAAGGCCAGGTGGGCAGCGGAGGAATCCATGCCATCGTGGATGTGGCTGGTGGCTGACTCCTTTTCCATGTGCTGGGACACTCCAGTGGTCTGGAGGCTCACCCCAGAAAGGCTCACCCCAAGGTGAGCAGAAGCTCCAAGCTTCCAGACATGGCACATCCAGAAGGGCAGGTGGCAGGGGCTGGAGGGTGAGGCAGGGGGCCTGGTCATCTTGGAGCCTAGGAACCAGCAGGGCTATGGCCTGGTGACAGGGCCCCGTCACCTGACCACCCGCCTGCCAGAGCTGGCCGCAGGTAGGTGTGAGTGGACAAAAAAGGCCTCTTTCATGGCTGGGCTCCCCAGCTAGCCCCGAGCTGCACTCCCATCCCTGGGGCACCATCAGCTGGTGGATCAAGTTTCTTCTCTGAAGGAACCCAATTCCTGTGTGGCGTTTATCTAAAAGCTTTGCTGCCTGGAGAACAACTTTGCTCCTCTCTCCAGCTTGTCTGAACAAAGAAGCCAGCCTCCCAATTCGGCTATCTCCCGCACTTGCTGGAGAGGCCAAGGACGGGCACGACTGAGGTCAGAAGCTAAGTAGGCCAAGCTGTCTGGGCCGAGACATCAGGTAGCTCATCTGCCTGACCCCTGTCTTCTGTGTACTGGTGAGGGGTGGAGCGCTAGACTGAGTCAGGGGCTGGGGCTCATGGTCCCTATGTGATGGGATGCAGAGAACCCCAGGGCAAGCACCAGGCCGATTCCCTGCCACCTGCTCATTCTCAGCACTGAGGAAGCAGCAAGGCCAGACTTAGCCAAGGTAGGAGTCCAGTCTCCCCACCCTGGCCCCAGCCTGGGATGGCCTCCAGGGTGACAGCACACCCTGTGAAGTGACCAGCATGGTGCCAGCCCTGACCGGCCGCCATGAGTCATTCTAGCTGCCTGAGCCTCAACTTCTCCATCTCACCTTCTCCAATGGAAGAGGGTTGGGTTAATGACTTCAGAATCCTAGGCCCACACAGGTGCTGTCCACTTCAGTAGGCCCATGACCCTAGGGAGACAGAAACCAGGGAAGGTAGTGACTAAGGCAGGGTCATAGGGTCGGGACCGACAGAGCGCAGGTTGGCCTCAGGGTGTGAGTCCAACCATTTTTAGGGTAGATGGGGATGGAATGACAGCTGAGGCAGGGGCGGGGGGGGGGGAATGCTGACAGCATCCAGGCAGAAAGCTCTGGAGCCATGGGTCAGACCCTGGAGGGAGGGAAGTGTGTGTTGTGGGTAGCGTCCCTTGTCCCTCGGTGGGACGAAGCCAGCCTGTCAGCCCCTGAAGGTAGACAGTCTTGACTTGTCAGTGATCAGCACAGGGCTCTGTGTGGAAGAAGTGTGGGGGTCATGACTGGGAATAGACTGGGGTTGCCAGGGGCCAAGGCTGCAGGAGCAGTGGGGGCCAAGAGCCAGGTGGACTGGGAAGGAGAACATGGCACCTCCTCTGGAGGGGCTGAGCTCACCTCAGGTGACCCTACCCAGCATGCAGCTGAGGATGAGCAGCCTCACACGCCCAGCTCTCCTCCCGTGCTGGCTCACACATCTCTTCTCTTCTTCTCTCCCTTCCCCCACCACAGCTGGGCCAGGACAGGAGGGGGCACAGTGAAGGGAAAAACAACAGCCTGCCCATGTCTCAAGGACAGAGTGGCAGAGTGGGGTCTCCATGACTCCCGCTGACTCCCGCTGAGCAGACATAGGCCACTCTGAGCTGGGGAGTCGTGGGAGGGAGAGACCACCTAGGCCAGGGGCCTCTCCATGCTGTACCCCCCATCCCCACAGTCCCTGGCCCTCACCTGTGAATAGGGCTCAGGAGCACGTGGGGTCACAGAGGCGGTTCTGCTCATCCTCAGGTTGGAAGACACAGGGGAGTTGTGGTAAAAGTAAACCAAGTGCCCACTAGCATGGAGGTTGCTCTGGGTGGGGCTTAATTGTGTGCCCACTTCCTGAAGGGAGAAGTCCAGCCTTGGCGGTCCAGACAGATCTGTAGCAGGAGCCACTGAGGATGGAGGCTGGGAGAGCTGGGTGTGTCGCGGAGATGGGTGTGAGTGGATGAGACCTGGCTGAAGGGGAAGAGAGGCGCTGGGCTGGAGGGGAGCTTGGAACGCGCTGGTGGAAAAGGAGTCCAGTGTGGGGCCTGGCAGGCTGTACTGGGAGGCCAGGCTGGGACCCCTTGGAGAGGTCCTGGGTAGGAGCCAGCTTGGAGGCAGAAGTAGACCCTACAGAACTGTGAAGGGGACAGAGCTCGGAAGGTGCCCTTTCCCTCAGGCCCCTCCTTCCTGCCTCAAATACTTCTACATCCCCAGTAGGCACACGGGACTCCCCTCAAAAAAAAAAAAAAAAACCAGAAACTGGGGAGCAAAGGTGAGGTGACCTCTTCACCTACCCCTGTGCTGAGGGACTAGGGCACCGGCGACAGCCAGCAGGAGGCCCAGTCACTCGGCAGCAAGGAAGAGGAAGCGAGGCTTTTTATAACTGCAGATAATTAATCGTTGTTGTCTGTGACTCATTACTCTAATACTGCCAATTAAGGCCCTGGTAGGACAGAAGGCTGTTCTCAGGCTCTCCCCAAGGGGCCCCCTGAAGACTGGGTCTGCGGGTGGCAGCACAGGGTCAAACCAGCTGCCCCACAGGGGAGGGAGCTAGGTTAGGAGGGGAAGGAGCTAGGTTAGGTGCAGGAACTAAGGCACAGAAGCAGCAGCCAGGCAGTCAGCTCTTCTGGGCTTGTTTTATTTCTCTGGTGCGTTTGTCCTTTGAAGGCTGCTACAAGCTTCACTGAGCCCCTCCCTCTCATAGCTGGGCCTCTGAGAAGGGTGATTTATTTAGCCCAAGAGGGGCTGAAGGCCCAGCCTGCACCACCTCTGCTCAGGGTCCGCCCCAGCCCGTGTGCTCTCTTCTGTTCCATGCCAAATGGTCTCGTTTGAGGTGCCCTGGTTACTTATGCAATCAACTAATCTCTCCTGACACCCGCTCTGGGGTCACAGGTGTCTCTGGTCCTCTCCCACCACCATTTGAAGGGCTCACAGGCTGGTGGGGTATAGACAGGAACTGACACACGCAGACCACACAGGGTGATCACCCGGGGAAGCCCCAGCTCCAGGGAGGGGGTGCGCGGGGAGGGGCAGCTGTGTGTGTGGGAGTGGCTGGTGTTTGGGAACTGGAAGTAATTCAGCCCCAGCGGCCAGGCCTGAGGAGGGGGATGGGTGTGGCCCGAGGTCTTCCCCTTGGTGCGGTGCTGAGCTGGTTGGGCTTCTGCCTGGCTAGTGGCAGAGCCTGTCAGACTTGAACTTACAGGGAGCGGTGATGACCTGGTGGAGAGCCTCTGGGGGCCCTTGGGTGGCAGTGGGGAGGGCCAGGGAGCCAGGTGAGAGGGGCTGGGGCCTCAAGGCGAGAGTTCCCGAGTGTAGGCAAGGGGAGAGATGCAGGGACATCCAGAAGCTCTAATCAACAGACGGGCTGGGGATGGAGAGGAAAGAAAGAAGTCTCCCAGGCTGGCACATGTCAGCCCATAATTTCAGCCTGGGTAGCTGGAGGCCATCCTGGAAACAGGAACCCATGCTGGGCCCAGAAGGGAGTGGCGTCCAGGAAGAACACCCCGCAGTGTGGGCGGGGCAGATAGCAAACTGCCCCTCACCTCGCTCTGAGGGTGGGATCATGGGAGTCCTGCCACAGGGTCTCCGAGCTTCCACCCATCCAGGATGATGCACCCTTCCTAGCAATGCTTTTGAGCCCACCGGTCCCCCTCCCTAGACTGAGTTTCCCTCTCCTCTGTGCCTGTTTCCTCATGACTCTCACTCCCTACCAGCACAGGCCAAGCCTCCTTCCTTGCCCTTTGCTGTCCCCCCTCGCCCTTCCTCTCCCCTGGCTCTCACAGCCCTCTGGGCCTGTGCTGGCATGGTGACTAGGATTGTTTGTATCTCCACCAGACTCAGAAGTGTTTTGAGGCCCTCTGCAGGGTGGGCCACACCCTGGGAAGCATGATGGAGCAGCTGAGTGGAGAGGAGGCGGGTTAGGAAAGGCGGCTGCCACCTGCAGTAGGGAGCCAGGGCCCCGAAAGCTCTTGGGTGTGGTGGCCTGGGCAAGGCAGGGGTCTGTATAGCTGTGCAGATGGGTGCCCCTGGCAGCAGTTGGCAGAGGCACTGACAGCTGATGGGACCTATCTGGCTGCCCTTAGAGATGGGATTGGGCTTGCAGGTGGGCGGGGAGGTGTGAATTTCCCAGCCAGCCCCTTCCATCGTTTCTGTCCTACCAGCTTGTGAGTGGGATGAAGGGCAGAGAAGAGTAGATGTTCTTCAAATTAGGCCAGGCATGGTGATAAAGCTGCCTTTGAAATGGACGCCAGGGAGAGCCTGGATTCAGCCCAGTGCAACTGGGTGCTGCTGGCCAAGGAAGCTGCAGCCGGAACCAAGCCCTACCTTCCCAGGGCTGGTGTGGAACTCTGGATGAGGATGTGCCCCTGGCCTTACACAAGAAGAGACCATTGTCTCAAGCTGGAGGAGAAACTTGCCTTCTCTCACCAGCTCTCTCAGGTGCTTTGGGAAAAGAGAACCACTGGGGGAAAGGGCGGAGCCTCTGGGCTTCAATTCCCCTTTTAAGATTCACAGGTCCCGCCTGGCAGGGCCCCTGTGAGGAGAAAGCTGGAGGCGATCCTCTGCTTGCATTAGATGGCTTCAGAGCCACCTGTGGCAGCCCAGGCTTTGTGGCTACAGTCAA